GTGGCAGGCCGATTGATGTTCCTATGGATCCGAATCAAAAATTATTGATGAATGATGGTGAACTGTTTGAGAATCCGGGTCGGTATCGCAGATTTGTTGGGAAGCTCAATTACCTCACTATTATTTAACAAAATATTTTCTATGCAGTCAGTATAGTAAGTCAGTTTATGGGGTGTCCTAAAGTACCACATTGGGAGGCAGTTACTCGTATTCTGCGATATCTCAAATGTGCTCCTGGCCTTGGATTTTTATATCGAACTAATGGACATCTTAGGGTGGAAGGTTTCTCAGATGTTGATTGGGTTGGATCTCCTTCTGATCGGAGATCAACCACTGGTTATTGTACTTTCTTAAGAGGTAATGTTATCTCATGAAAAAGTAAAAAACAACCAGTGGTAACAAGATCTAGTGCTGAGGCTGAGTATAGGGCAATGACACATATGACGAGTGAGTTGACTTGGCTACTACACTTCCTCCAGGAAATTGGGTTTTCAGTTCAACTTTCTTTACAGTTGTTCTATGACAACCAGGTAGCTATCCATATTACTGTCAATCTAATGTTTTACGAGAGAACTAAACATATTGAGGTTGATTGTCACTTTATCCTAAACAAGATAGTAGCTAGAGAAATTATGACTCCATTTGTAAAATTTGAAGATCAACTTGCAGACATGTTTACTAAAACATTGAGTCGTACACGTCTTACAACAATTTGTTTCAAGCTTGAATTTGATTTATATATAGTCCAGCTTAAGGGGGAGTGTTAAGAGTATTGGGGTATTGTGTGTAGATTGTTAATAATGTTAGGGTACTATGTGTAAATACAAGAGAATGTATGTGTAATTTTTATATTATGAGTTAACTATAAATACAAGTGATTTTGTGAAAGTAGGTTAAGTTTTGACCACTCTCCGTCTTCTCTAATATTGAATTTATTCTCTAAACTTAACAACATTAAATATTACCTTGTTGACTATATACAGTTTCAAAACATTAAATATTTAATGCACTTTCTTTTTGTTTAAGGATTTGGTATCAACACGAATTTGGATCTGCTTAATATCATAAAGGCTAACTAATCATGTTGTTAGAACAAATGAACAAAGCCCACTTTGTTGAAGAAGGCCCACCTCAATGATAATTGGTCCAACTTGTAGATTTATGTTCGCATTGTGTACCAGTCATGTATAGTCAAGTTCAGGTTCGTGTTGGCCTATTTATTAAATTAGACAGATTCAAGTATCACTCGAATGTAGTATAACCAAATTTGACCCAATGGTATTGTTTCAATCTCATGTTGGTTTGATGAATGGTGTTAGAAATTATCAAGCCTTAATTTACAATGAAAAAAATGGCAAGAATGTTTTGGTTTTTTTGGGTGAGGGAGTGGCCCTGTGTAAGGGCTCACTTAGCCAATAAGTGGTTGCAGATTCAAACTCCATCCCCTTTTCTCTCGTCTCCCATAAGGAAAAAAATAAAAGAATTTATTTTTGAAAAATAAAGATAAAATATATACTAGTATCAAGACAAACTAATATTGGTTTGAGATCCATTATGACCAAGTGTTTGACGACCAAATTTATCAATTAAGTAACTCACACTATTTAAAGTGTTACGCACTTCTTTAAAATAGATTAAATTTTTAAATAATAAATTACATAAGTATTATTTAATGCTGAAAATGATAGTTAATAAGAATTTTACCCTCAAATGATTTGATTTCAATTTATTTTATACTCTAACTTTTCAACACCCACTGTCCCATTGTCGCCACCATAACCCCTCCTCCACTACCACCATTGTCACCATCACCACCATCACTACCATTATCACTATCATCTTGCCACCACTACTCTCATCATTATCATCAATGACATCATCACCCCCTCATCGCCACAACTATCACCCAATAGCATTATCTCTATTGTTGCCACCATCACCACCACTATCACCCTTTTTCTATCATCACATTTTTGCCTTCATTGCCACTCAACCATATTCGTCATCGCCGTCACTATCACTACCGCTATTGTTGTTATCATTAATGTCACCACCACTTACCACCATCACAGTCACTATTATCACCACTATCACTTTACCATATCCACCATTGTCGCCATTATCACTTTACCATATTCACCATTGTCGCCATCCTTACTACCATCACCCATGTCTACTGTTGCCACCATCACTACCTTCCATTTTTGTCCCCACCATCTCCACTACTTCCTCATAACCACCACCACTCAATTACCTTACCTCACCACCCACTTACAATCACTATTGTCTTCAACTCGCTTACCTACCATTTCACCACCATCAACCAACCACCATTGTCACCATTGTATCTATCATTTTTCCCATGACCACCACCCCCACTATAACTATTGTCACTACCAATCTATTGTCGCTAGCACCCTCTCCCCACCACAATTATTGTCACCATTATCACTCTTCACCATTGTCAATATTCTACCACAACCACTCCACAAACCGTTACCACCACAATCCCATCCCACCATCACTAATCATCTTACCATCACCATTGTCACCAACTTTGACATTACTACCATTACTATAGTATGACCACTATTGCCTTGCCTCACTCACCGCGATAGTGGGAATGATGGTGGCACGGAGGTAATAGGTTGTTAGGATAGTAGAGGTTATGACTATGGTTGGGAGATGAAGGTGGTGGTGGCAGTAGCATAATAGGTGACGACAAGTGATGGTGTAGAAAGTATGGAGCATTGATGGCAATGACGACAATGTTATATGTGACAACACTAACAATTGTGAAATAATAAAAATATTAATGGTAAGAATAAAGTAATTACAATGAGATGATAAAATCGTTGAAATTGTAAAATAATTAATGAGATTCAAATTCAAGTTGCACATGATGCCGAATATCTCATTGAATTATTCATTGTAATTTTTATAACTCCATCCTCTTTCCTCCCAAACAGTGCTTTTATATATATATATATTATTATTATTATTTTTTCCTTTGCGAAATAGGAAAGAAGAGCTCGTCGACGCATTCGATTTCGATCTCCTAAAAAACCGACCTTTTCACCACCTTGCAGGTCAGTTTGTTGCCCAAAAATATTAATTATAAAAAAAAGGATAAATAACAAAAGAAAATCACACACACACACAACAACAACAACTGCAACAAGAAGAAGAAAATTGTATACTCTCTCTTCTCTCTCTGTAATTTCTCTCTCTGCATCTCTCCTCTCTTAAAAGCACACAACACACATTCTCTCTCTATCTATATCTCTCTCTGTGTGTCGTCATGGTTAGCGCCAATCGGCACAACCTTTACACCGTTTAAAACCCTAATTTTCTCTCTCTTCACACTATACACTCGCAGGATCACCCAAAAAAACAAACCTTTATTCTCCACTTTAATTAAATATCAGCGCTAGTCTTTTGCAATTTTTTTCTCTATCGATTTTGTGGTTTGATCGGTGGATCTGTGGGTTTTTAATTTTATTGCAGAGAAAAATACTAAAAGAGAAATTGGAGGTGATTTTGAAGGTTGGAATATATGTCCCTCAATCAATCAAGGGCTGAGAAGAACGAGACACTACAGTACAGAAAAACGGGACGAACCGGTAGCTTTAATCAGCAGAGGAACTCCGGTAATAGCGGCAAGGGCGGCGGTGGCGCCACCGCCCTTCCTACCTCTTCGTCTTCATTATCATCCAACAGCAGGTAAATTGGCGCAAACTTAAGGGTTTCTTATTTTGATATTGCGTATGTATATATGTGTATATACTGATATTTTGANACTATAGTATGACCACTATTGCCTTGCCTCACTCACCGCGATAATGGGAATGATGGTGGCACGGAGGTAATAGGTTGTTAGGATAGTAGAGGTTATGACTATGGTTGGGAGATGAAGGTGGTGGTGGCAGTAGCATAATAGGTGACGACAAGTGATGGTGTAGAAAGTATGGAGCATTGATGGCAATGACGACAATGTTATATGTGACAACACTAACAATTGTGAAATAATAAAAATATTAATGGTAAGAATAAAGTAATTACAATGAGATGATAAAATCGTTGAAATTGTAAAATAATTAATGAGATTCAAATTCAAGTTGCACATGATGCCGAATATCTCATTGAATTATTCATTGTAATTTTTATAACTCCATCCTCTTTCCTCCCAAACAGTGCTTTTATATATATATATATTATTATTATTATTTTTTCCTTTGCGAAATAGGAAAGAAGAGCTCGTCGACGCATTCGATTTCGATCTCCTAAAAAACCGACCTTTTCACCACCTTGCAGGTCAGTTTGTTGCCCAAAAATATTAATTATAAAAAAAAGGATAAATAACAAAAGAAAATCACACACACACACAACAACAACAACTGCAACAAGAAGAAGAAAATTGTATACTCTCTCTTCTCTCTCTGTAATTTCTCTCTCTGCATCTCTCCTCTCTTAAAAGCACACAACCCACATTCTCTCTCTATCTATATCTCTCTCTGTGTGTCGTCATGGTTAGCGCCAATCGGCACAACCTTTACACCGTTTAAAACCCTAATTTTCTCTCTCTTCACACTATACACTCGCAGGATCACCCAAAAAAACAAACCTTTATTCTCCACTTTAATTAAATATCAGCGCTAGTCTTTTGCAATTTTTTTCTCTATCGATTTTGTGGTTTGATCGGTGGATCTGTGGGTTTTTAATTTTATTGCAGAGAAAAATACTAAAAGAGAAATTGGAGGTGATTTTGAAGGTTGGAATATATGTCCCTCAATCAATCAAGGGCTGAGAAGAACGAGACACTACAGTACAGAAAAACGGGACGAACCGGTAGCTTTAATCAGCAGAGGAACTCCGGTAATAGCGGCAAGGGCGGCGGTGGCGCCACCGCCCTTCCTACCTCTTCGTCTTCATTATCATCCAACAGCAGGTAAATTGGCGCAAACTTAAGGGTTTCTTATTTTGATATTGCGTATGTATATATGTGTATATACTGATATTTTGAAATTAGGGGTTGTGGTTGATTTTTGTTTTTTGTGACGGTAATTTTTTTTTTTTTTTGGGGTTCTGTTAGCTTTAAGAAGTCTAACAATGCACAAGGAGTGCAATCTAGAGCAAGCATTTCGAGTCTGAGTTCGGATTCCAATCCTGTTTCTGTTACCCGTAGTGTACAGAATGGTGCCCATATTCAACCACCCTTACATGGTATGTGATTAAACTAAGTACTTTTTCTTTGCTTTCATTGGCTCTGTTTTTAGTTTGCTTTTTAAATTGGTAATTGTATTAATATTTGCTATTTTGGGTATCGAATATAAGAATTAAAAGAATAGTATTTACTGCTACTTATCATGGGCTTCGATCTTTTACAGAATCTTGATATTGTGCTTTGGAAATTGTGATCATAATTTGCATTTTGATTATTGTGTTATTTTGTACGTTGTTATTCTTGTTGTAGGAGCATCTGATGCACCAGTCACATGTGTTACTGTGAAGCCTACAGATGTTTCGACTCAGAATAGCACCCGACCTCTTCCAAAGGCTCCATCTTCTAATGCTTCTACTGTAATGTCTGACAGAAAGGAGCCCACAACCCCCGCCAAAGGTATGCCTAGCCAGTGCTTGATATGGTTTTTGTGGTTTTCATGAACTATAAAAATATTTTAAATTTTGCCTGTGCTTCTTGTTGTTGGTTTTCTCATTGATGTTTGCTAATACCATTTTATAATGGCTTAGCTCCAGGTGATCCACCTAGGTCATTTCCTTTTCAGTTTGGTACAATAAGTCCAGGTTTCATGAATGGAATGCAGGTTTGTTGGTACACTTTTTCACATCAAAAGCTCTTTGTAATTTCATGAAGCTTAATTGTTTTTCCCTATTGTCCTGCTAATTGTAGAAGGATTGTGTTTCTGTTGTGTTTATAGATACCTGCCCGAACTAGTTCAGCCCCCCCAAATTTGGATGAGCAGAAACGTGACCAGGTTCGTAGTTTTGTTCCCCTCTTGTCTGCCTTTCTGAATGAAGAAGTGTTTCAGTTCTGATGTATTATGGTGCATAGAATCATTCTTTTTATGCCTCCAGTGTAGTCAAGACTGGAAAGCTTAATTCAAACCAAGTTAAATTCCATTACATAACATAGGAGATTGTTCCACATAGAATTTATTTGGCAGGGTCTGACTTGTTTAGTAGACTTGGGTGGATCACAGCCGACAAGTGTCTTTTGCTTCCAGTACATGATCATTGTCAGGGGACCTTGAATCGATATGGTTTAATTAATAAGTAGGAGAAGGCATATCATTAGTGATTGTACACCATGTAGAATATAGTGACACCATTACCAATGATTATGTTGGTTGACCCTCTGCCCCTCTTCGGTGATTTTTTCTCTGGCAGGCTCGCCATGATTCTGTAAGAGCTGGGCCCACATTTCCAATTCCATCCATTCCCAAGCAGCAGTTGCCCAGGAAGGATGGAGGACCTGTTGATCAATCTAATACTGGTCAGGCTCATCCAATGCCTAAGGCCAAAAAGGATGTGCAAGTTTCAGCTGCACCCCACGTGAGCCAAACTCAGAAACCATCTGTACATCCTATTCCTGGGATTTCTATGCCAATGCCGTTTCATCAGCCACAGGTTCCCATTCAATTTGGTGGCCCGAACCCACAAATTCAGTCTCAGCGCATGACAGGTACTTCATTGCCGATGCCAATGCCGATGCCTTTGCCAATGGGTAATCCACCTCAGGTGCAGCAGCCGGTATTTGTTACAGGTCTTCAACCCCATCCAATGCAGTCTCAGGGAATTTTCCATCAGGGCCAGAGCTTGACTTTCTCATCTCAGTTGGGTCCTCAGCTGCCTCCTCAGTTGGGCAATTTGGGAATTAACAGCACTCCACAATTCTCTCAACAGCAAGCGGGCAAATTTGGTGGTCCTCGTAAAACTGTCAAGATTACTGATCCAGTCACTCATAAAGAGTTTAGACTTGATGAGTTATCAGGCCAGAGGTCACATCCTAGTGTGCCACCTCAATCCCAGCCTACTCCTTCCTTTTCACCTGCTCTTCCAATTAATTATTATCCTAATACATACAATTCCAGTTCTCTTCCTCTGACTAACATAACTTCCAGTTCTCAGGCACCAAAGTTTTATAATCAGGTTAGCCAGGGCCCACCAACTGTAACTTTTGTGAACCCATCTGCCCTTAACTCATTTTCTATTAATAAAACTGGGGGCTCAGTGCATTGCATAACTGAACCATCACGTTTGGAACATTCCTATGATGTTCATCATGTAATATCCTCACCTCCATCAACTTCTATACAGGTGACTGTAAAACCAGCAGCTGCTGGACGTGGAGAAAAGGTTGTTGACTCATCACCTTCAGTAAGCTCATCTGCTGTTGGAACGAGTGAGTCTCCTAAACTGCTGAAGGTACAAGGGGAAGCAAGCCCAAGTTATCCTCATCGGGATTCTGAGACTTTACCTCAAAGCTCTTTACAGCAATCAAAATCCAGTACCGAAACAAAGTCTACATCAATACATGTGGCAAGTGAACAGTCTGTTGTTTTATCTGGTTCTGTTTCTGTTGAGATCCCTTTACCCAGCTCTTTGTCTCCTCCTCCTGGTCTTGTCGAGTATTCTGCATCAGGACAAACCAGTGGTACTGGTGGGGCACGAAGGGAAATGGTTATGTCTGACTCAATTAAAGATCCGCCAAACAAATCTGACAACGAAGGACATTCCCTCCCGCAGAATCAGGTATAGTATCACTTCTGTTGTATGATTTGTTTCACCAAATGTCCAGTTTAAGGGAGTTTATCACATTATGAGAGCAAGGATTTTCTTGCCAATATTTGTAGGTTGGACAGTCTACTTCTGTTTCGAGCTTGCCTTCTCAGTCTTTCAAAGATACTACTCCTGAGTGTGGAATTCCTGAAAAAGTAGAAGCTAAAACAACTCTTGCTTCATCTGGAACACGTGGGAATGTCTTGGAAACTGACGGGGGCCCACCAGCAGCTATTGGTGTTGCCACTCCTGATGCTTCTAATGCGAGAAATAATCATGCTGGGGAAGGCACATGTGAGTTATCAAAAAATTTTGGTGCTGGAACCAAAGTTGATACTTCTTTGAATTGTGAACAACCAAAACTTGAAACTGTGGGAACCAAAGAACAGGAACGAGATGCTAACAGTTTTGAGACAAGTTCAGAATCTGTTTCCATTGGGCCTTCGGAAGTTGCTACTCAAATAGAACAGAGAGCTGTTCAGGGGGTAGCAACTGCTGGCTTTGAGGTTGGATCCACAGAAACTGCACAGAGAAAGCTGAAAGAATCTGTAGGCCATCCCACAGAAAAGTCCACCTCTACAGTGCAGGATGCCCTAAATGCAAAACTTTCCCCATCAGGTCTTGGTTTGCTTACAATTTCCCAGGGTGATGAGACTTCATCCTTGGATGCTCCTTTGACCAGAAATAATAGCATTTGTAGTGAAGAAGTTGCTGGAACAAAATCAGGAGATCAGCAGTCACTTCCTGTTTCAATTCCATCCCTTTCAGAAGCAATTTTGAATTGTGAAGGCGAAGACACTGAGCAAATAGGATCTGACGTGGATTCTTTTTCAGGTTCCAGTTTAAATGATAAACTCTCGCTGGAGTCTAATAGGGCAAAGAGTAGTGTCGCTAGTGCAAAAAAGAAGAGAAGAGAAATGCTACTAAAAGCTGATGCTGCTGGTATAACTTCTGATCTTTATATGGCATACAAGGGTCCAGAAGAAAAGAAAGAAATTGTCACCTCTGCAGAAAGCATGGGAAGCAGTTCCGGTATTAGTTTGAAACAGCTATATGGTGATGCTTCTCAGGAAGATGATGTATTTTGTGAAAGAGTTGATCAGAGTAAAACTGAGCCTGATGACTGGGAAGATGCTGCAGACATCTCGACTCCGAAATTGGAAACTTCTGGTAATGGGAAGAATGATCACGGAGGATTAAAACATCATGGTGAAGATGAAGTTGGAGTAATGGCCAAAAAGTACTCTAGGGATTTCCTACTGAAATTCGCGGAGCAATGTATTGGCCTTCCAGATGGTTTTAAATTTATATCTGATATAGCTGAGGGCTTTATGGTTTCTAATTTTAATGTTCCTCGTGATACATATCCTACTCCTGGAAGAGTTATTGATAGGCCAACAGGGGGATTTCGCCTGGACCGTCGTGGGAGTGGCATGGGGGATGATGACAAATGGGGTAAACTACCCAGCCCACTTGCATCAGGACGGGATATGCGGCTGGATGTTGGTTATGGGGCAAATGTAGTAGGGTTTAGGCCTGGCCAAGGGGGGAATTATGGTGTTCTTAGGAACCCTCGTGCACAGACTCCCGTTCAGTATGTCGGGGGCATCCTATCTGGGCCAATGCAGTCCCTGGGTTCTCAGGGAGGTGTGCAACGAAATGGCCCTGAATCTGACAGGTGGCAGCGTGCAACCGCTTTTCAGAAGGGTTTAATACCATCTCCTCATGCTACGTCACAGGTAATGCACAAAGCTGAGAAGAAGTATGAAGTGGGTAAAGTAACTGATGAGGAACAGGCCAAGCAAAGGCAGTTGAAAGGCATCCTAAACAAGCTAACTCCCCAAAACTTTGAAAAATTATTTGAGCAAGTTAAACAAGTAAACATTGACAATGCCACCACCCTCACTGGAGTGATCTCACAAATATTTGATAAAGCTTTAACCGAACCAACGTTTTGTGAGATGTATGCTAACTTCTGTTCTCACCTTGCTGGAGAGTTGCCTGATTTGAGTGTAGGCAGTGAAAAGATTACATTTAAGAGATTACTTCTGAACAATTGCCAGGAAGAATTTGAGAGAGGAGAAAGAGAGCAAGAAGAAGCTAACAAAGCTGAGGAAGAAGGTGAGGCCAAACAGTCTGTAGAGGAAAGAGAGGAAAAGAGAACTCAGGCACGAAGACGGATGTTGGGTAATATCAGACTAATTGGTGAGTTGTACAAGAAGAAGATGTTGACGGAGAGAATTATGCATGAATGTATAAAGAAGTTGTTGGGTCAGCCTGAGAATCCTGATGAGGAAGATGTGGAAGCATTATGCAAGTTAATGAGCACAATTGGGGAGATGATTGATCATCCTAGAGCCAAGGAACACATAGATGTATATTTTGATGGGATGGCTAAATTATCAAACAACATGAAATTGTCTGCTAGGGTGAGGTTTATGTTGAAGGATTCAATTGATCTGAGGAAGAATAAGTGGCAGCAGAGGAGGAAAGTTGAAGGGCCGAAAAAGATCGAGGAAGTGCACAGGGATGCCGCTCAAGAACGGCAGGCTCAGGTTAGCAGGCTTGCTCGTGGTCCAAGCATCAGCTCTTCAGTCAGAAGGGGTCAACCTATGGACTTTGGTCCGAGAGGGCCAAATATGTTACCCTCTTCAAGTGCTCAGTTTGGGGGTTTTCGTGGGGCATCTCCACAGCTCCGTGGTTATGGTGCTCAAGATGTTCGTTTTGAGGATAGACATTCTTTTGAGAATAGGACCTTGTCGGTTCCCCTACCTCAAAGACCAATTGGTGATGATTCTATTACCCTTGGGCCCCAAGGTGGTCTTGCCAGGGGGATGTCCATTAGAGGACAGCCATCAGTACCAAGCACTCCATTAGCTGATATGCCAAGTCCTGGAGACTCCAGAAGAATGACAGGTGGGGTGAACGGTTACAATTCTGCATCAGAGCGGACAGCTTACAGCTCAAGGGAGGATCTCATTCAGAGATACGTCCCAGAAAAGGGTGCCAGTCTGTCTGCCTATGACACTCAAGAGAGAAATATGAATTATGGGAGCAGGGATATAAAGAATGCAGATCATAACTTCGATAGATCTCTGCCAACTTCACCGCCCACACGAGGTCTGGGACCAGCTTTCACGCAAAATGCTTTGTCAGAAAAGGTGTTTTCTAAAGAACGTTTGCAAGACATGTCCATGGCAGCAATTAAAGAGTTTTACAGGTATGGTCTAGTCTCTTGTATTGAAATCAGGCTATTGACAATATGCCATAGCTACTTTGCGCGGATAAAAATAGGCAATATGCCATAGCTTGCTTTCTTTATATTTGCTCTTTCTTGAACTTCTCACTGATCACCTCATGTCGTTATAATTGAGATTTCCAAGTACTATATCAGACGACGATTTAAGATCCAGCAGTGTTATATGCGGATTGAAATCAAAAACATTGATGAAACATATTAAACATCACAATATATTAGCTAATATATTTCTGAAGATGTTGGTTAAGGAGGGGGATGGCAGAAAACATAAATATGGTGATGAAAGAAGCGGGATATGGTTGAATCCTTGAATCCAAGCAGGATCAAAGTTACAAGGCATGATAAAGAAGTGTCCGCTGTACATAAAATTCATAAGGATACAATGCCTGTCACACTACATAATTGGAGGTGATTTGACCTCTTAGCACCCTGATATCATCTAGGAAAGTTATAGGGGTCTTCAAATTATGACTTGGCCATTTGGAGATATGTCCAAATTTCACTATGTCAGCAACCTAGGTTTCTCGATTGGGTATTAATAGGCTACGAGGACCAGAATATGTGATGAAGGAAAGAGAGAGATGAGGGAAGTTATGAACAGCAGCAAAGAGATGCTGCTGCTGCCTCATTAGCCTCAATTTTGCCATAGTTGTGGCACAGTCACTGCCTTCTTCTCCTCCTACTTCTCAGTCTTTGTTGTCTATTCTACTATTTTAAGACTTGTAAGAATATTGTTGAACTTGTGGTGGGTAATGGAAACATGCTTTTCTTTCATTTTATATAGCTAACTGCTTATAAATAAATGATTTGAGTTTTTGTTTTATTGTTAACACGAATAAAAGGTTGTTTTGTTTTTTTTTTTTTTTTTTGGGGGGGGGGGGG